TATTAAATGCTCAGGTCTGGAGTATTTAATGCTCATTCTTCTAGGCTTCTAGAGCCATCATGGATGTCCCATCAACTGAGTTTATTAAATGCTTGCCTGAGATAGCTACATGTCAGTAGGGGCATTTTTGTCCATTTAGCCCCTAGCCTGTACTTCATGCCACGTGTTTGACTCCTCTTGGTGGAGTGTCTTGTTCATTCTGTCATTCTGACATTATTGGAAAGAGTAACCTTATGATCCCTAGTCTAGTTCTAAAAGTGACTAGTTGTCAATCAATAGCCTTTGGGGTCGAGTATACATGGTACGTGATGAAGACTCCGAGGTGCCTTAACGTCGAGATGACATGTCAGGTGGAGAAAACTCCACGGACAATATGTCGTGGACTCCGAGAACGACATGTCTTGGACTCCGATGTACTTTTAGTGGAAGGCTCTGAGGTACTTTTAGTAGAGGGCTTCGAGGTACCCTTAGTGCCTAGATGACGTGTCACTTGTAAGAAGCTCCAAGGTGCCGAGGACACATGTCGTCCAAAGAACACCTCGCGACCAATATGTCAAGGACACGTGCCTCGTCCCTTTTGATCACAGAAAATGTCTCATCAATATATTTTGGAAATTCAAAATCCACTAAATGTACCGGTGTTTAAAAATCTTAACTACTCCAAAAAAAAAAATGAATGGATCCTTAAATTCTTGTTAAATTGGATAACCCCTCTACCTAGAGTGATTGTAGTGATTACTGTTTTTTTTTTCTTTTTTCAACAGTTAGGGGTGTTTGGATCAGTTTATACGCACCTCAACTAATTCGCTCATCGGTCCGATCAAAGGCAGGCCGTCTATGCTGGTACTAGGATATTTATGAAGGATAAATCTTTCAATGTCTGACCCCCAATGAGTTATCAAGATTTGAACTCAAGACATCTAAATTTATAATTCGTCTTTATTACCACTTGAGCTATCCTTAAAATTATAGTGATAACTGCTCATTTTAATGATTATCTGTTTTTGTTTTAATTTTTTGTTGCCTTTCTTGGATTGTTGGAAATTAATTGGAATTGGGCATGTGTTGGGCAAACCATGGGATTGCTCTTAGCACTACATAATTTGATCACATGGGTAGAATTAGATTAGGATAATTTTTTAAAAAAATTACCACATGGGTAGAATTAGATCAGGATAATTTTTTTAAAAAAATTACATGTGTCATGTTATATTAAATAAAAATTAAAAGTATGGTACCAAAAATTTTATTTTTTGGTATCGAAATAGGTCCAAAACCTATACTAAGGATGTCAATTTACTTTCGATCGTGTCATTTTGGGCCGTATCACCTTTAGTATGTGTTGTATTTGTGTTAATATTTGTATTAAAAAAATATTTAATTTTACACATGTCATAATCGTGTTAATTAATCATATTATTTTTAAATTTTACGTTGAATCTAGTTTATGTCAAGTTTGTGTCAATAAGGAAGATTGAAACTCTTTGATGTGATGGTGGGGTGGGTAATGGTTGGAGGTCAATGGAGTACTGGTGACAACTGCATTATTGATTTTTTTTTTTTTTTTGAACACGACTGCATTATTGATTGATGAAGGCAATTTTGCAACCATAACAAGTTGCTTTCTACTTTTCTTCTCTGACTCAAAGGTCGGTACCTGGCTGGCTAAGTGCAGACTATTACAGGGTTATAACCTGGCTGGCTAATCATTGAAATATATAAAAAAAGTAAGAAAATAAAACTAGGAGGGTTGCTTGAATTTAACCCAAATTTTCAAATTATCATGAAATGAATTTGTTCAGTAATTAATGTCAGAATTCTGAATAAAATAAGAAACATATTAAAAAAGTCATAATAAAACATAGATAGGATTATTAACAATCTGATAGGAAATATAAAAATTTAACAATATCTAAATTATATTGGGTTATATTATTTTATCCTTATAAATAAGTTTGAATATTATGTAATCAGTTAACAAATAATCAATTTTTTAATAAATAATACATGGATGCAAGTTTTTGATTTGTGCGGTTGTCGGTATGTTGTACCAAGATGAGTATGTTATATTATATATTTGTCATGTTTTCATTTATTTTTTTTTATCATGTTTTCATTGTTTTTCCTATCTTAAATTCCTATCCTCCTACTTATGTTATTAATGTTAATTATCTGCGGTACAAAACTAATAAAGCGTGTTTGTGTAGTTTATTTTTTTGGGAAAAATTTTAGTCACACCATTTCTAATATATCATATCTTCAAGGACATTTCCATCTATTTTCTGAATATTCACTGACACCCCTTTTAGTTTATGTTTAAACATCATTAACACCGCTACCGTTAAACTACCGTTTCTAACAACAACAACAAAAAATCAATTAAATGACCGGAATTGACCCTACATAAACTCCAAACAATATTTCTACATAAAATTTGAGCTGCTTAATTTTTTTTTTTTACATTTTAAAATTTGAGCTGATTAAAATTTATTTTTTTGTATATTAAAATTTCAGCCAATTAAAATTAGATTCAAGTTGATTAAAATTTATTTTTTTTTATAAATTAAAACTCGGACTAATTAAAATTTAATTCGAATTGATTAAAATTTGATTGAACATACACAACATTTTTACCATTTTTACGTTGGATTTAGAGCGGTCGCCTTTCATTTTGCTAACATTGCATGAGTGCAATGGTACAGGCTTCAGATGTGAGAATGCCACATCAGAATAAAACAAAAAAAATGAATAATTTTATATCGTATGAATGCACTCAATAGACTTAATCTTTAATTGTTAGATTAATAAAAAAAACGAGGAATTAGGTTATGAACAAGTGAGAACTTGTGCGATGCATCGAGACTAATTAAATATGTTAGATTCGAGTTGATTAGTGTTCGACACGAACTTATAAATGAATTAAAATAAATTAAAAATTTTAATTTGTAGAATTTATTTTTGTCTGTTGGATATATTTAACGACCGGAGATACCTGTAAATCAACCTCAATCATAGGGGTATAAAGGTAAAAGTCAATCGACGTTTACTAACAGGGGATGTGAGTGAAAGTTCAAAAAATAAAGAGGATGTCTTTCAAGATATAGCAAATTCGAAGGGGTATGACTGTAGTTTTCCTTTTTTTTTGGACATTGGATCTAAAATGACGTGTTTGGCTGAAGTGCAACCCCATAACGTGTGCAGATGTATTTAAATAAGAAGACTCCAAATGAGGGTGGCTATAATACCTGTCAGCAAGACAATAACCTCCTGGTCGGTACAACATGCATTGATTTGGGTACTTACATCCCTACTTTAGTAATTTATGTCTTTCTTTTACCATTAATTTAGGCAAGGACAAAGGAGATCCTGTTAAGAAAAACATGACCCTATCTGATTATCATGTGAAAGGTGTTCTACTCCCACATGCAGTTGAATCACAGAATGACATGCAATCGTTTACAAATACATATAAACATACCAGTATGCATGTATAATTTTCAGGTCAGTGGAGATGACTTGTTTTCTAAGAGAAATAAATATTATAAAAGGACATAGGGCTTATGACATAATGACAATTATTTATGGTATAAAATAGAGAGATTGATGACGGGACATACTTTGATAGAACTATTAAGAAAGGAGATGTGGATCAATGACAAGGCCAATAGCTTCAATAAAGTATTTGGACCATATCAAATTAAGAAATTTTTGGGGTCGATAGTTACATATACTATTATTGTAATTTATTGATGTCATTTGTATTAGATTGATGTGATAAAAGACAAAAAATATTACTGCATCTTGTATTTATGCAAGAATCAACACGAAATTTCAAACATACACGTAGTGATAATCGTGCACACGGGTTAATAAGGTGATACCTTGAGAGAGGTCAGCATTTAATACTTGAACTTGAGCTGGATCATCATTCAACTTTTGACCCATGATTACCTGCAAGTTATCCTTAAGTCTAATAAATGTATGTACGACTCGAATCCTCTCTATGACAAGATGAGTGACTTTTTTGATTAAGCAACCACTAATACGACTGTCTTGCACATGGATCAAGCGGAGGGATTCACTTCCACAAGGTTATCAAGTTGTCGACCTAGACATCATTGCAAGGAGTCCAAAATCATCAGTGCCTCAAGGTATAGAATAGTCCGAGGGTTGGACGTCAGGCATGCAAGTGAAAATACACAATACAGTAGCTTTCGTATTCTCCTAATCCCTTCATAATTCTTTGGTGTTGCAGGAACTTTGATGCGATTTATTTAGGTGTTTTTATCTAATTGATTGTCGAACATTTAGGTGTTTTTATCTCATTAATTATCAAAAATTATAACACGGTAAAAAAATAATACGGCACGACCAACACAATTTACACACCTTGTGATGAGTAGACAATAGAACTAACGAAACTGATTAAAATACCTCTCGCTGATAAAAACAGAATGTATATGGTGGGTCCTATACGGGCATTTTGGGAATTTTAGGGTGAAAACCTTAAGGGTTACCGAATGTTATTTACCCAACTATATATTCAGTCTCTCTTCAAAGCCACCCAAAGAACGAAACTTCATAATATTCCGTTTTCTCGTAGCCTCCAACACTTGTGTCCCATCGCTTTCTCTCTCTCTCTCTCTCTCTCTCGTTTCATCCCTGTACGTTCTTGGTTAGTCGTTTCAGAAGCAAAATAGAACACAAATTTGGTTCGTTTGTACTTAGAAAGCTGAAGTGTTTTTTGATTTTTTTCAAAGCAGAAACACTCAAGAATCTGCGATTTATAGTTTGTATTGGAAGCTTTTTATTCGAATTTTTTCGATAACAGAATTCGGATAGGTTTGAAAGTGTTTTCTGGAAGTAGAAAACGCTTTTAAATTTGTGTTTTACGTGGATTCCTACTCGTCAATTTTGAGATCTCGCTGGATCACAGCACTGATTTTTGGAAGTAAAAACACTTTCTAATCTGTGTTTTTACTTGGATTCCACTTTTAAATTTGAGATCTCACTGGATCACATCAACTAGACATAGCGGAAATTCATTCAGTTCATGTTCAAATTCGAAGGTAGGGCACTGATCTGTGTTTTACTTCTATTCTATTCTGCAATTTCGAGATCTCACTGGATCACATGACGTATTCATAATCCAGTGTTCATTCAGTTCATGCTCAAATTCGATGATAAGGCACTAAGCTGATTCTTCTTCTTCTTATTCTCTCTCTCACACACACACACAGAGGCACACATGTGTTCTATGCATAAATACACAAACACTAACACAAATACAGTCGTGTTTGTGTTTGTGCAATTGAAGTTGTGAGAAAGCTTAAGCTTTATTTGACTGATATAGTTGAGATGTATTGCTTTTTTAATTTACTTTGGCAGAGTTTGAGCTTAGAAAGTCACTGAAACGAAGTTCACAGATTGAAAGTCGTGATTTAGAAGGACGATTGAGCGTTTTGTGGTGTTGTGAACGGTGAATTTCTTTTTGGATAGTTTTCGGAGTTTCAATTGAGTTGGGAAATATGGGGGTTGACTTGAGGTCTGTCGTGCCAAAGATGAACCTCTCGTCAGCCTCTGATTACACTTCGATTGTGGCAATTACCTTATTCGTTGCGCTCCTTTGCGCGTGTATTGTGATCGGTCATTTGTTGGAGGAGAATCGGTGGATGAATGAGTCAATTACAGCCCTTGCAATTGTGAGTTCTTCTATATAGTCATCTCCCTCTGTGTGTGTATTTTATGGCGATTACTGGGGGGTTAGATTTTAGTGTCGTGGTTTGATCACAGGGTTTGAGCACTGGAGTTGTGATTCTATTAACAAGTGGTGGGACAAGCTCGCATCTTTTGCTTTTCAGTGAAGATCTTTTCTTCATTTATCTTCTTCCGCCAATAATATTCAATGCTGGGTATGTTGCACATTTTCTTAATTATCTTCCTTTTGTGTGTTCAATGTAATCTGTATATAGCTTCTTATTTGCAAGCTAATCTTACAATTCCTTAGGCTGCCACACAGATAAACACTGTCAACATTCTGTTATTTCAACACATTGTTGTACTATATTGTAATGTATTGCTTCAATTTTGCTAAAAGAGGTAGTGGTTTTAGCTGTAATATGAAAAATGAAAGCACACTAATGAATTGAAGTTGGTGTCTAGGGTTGAGACTTCAATGGCATTGTAAATTCTGATGGGTTCAATCTACCAATTTTCCCTTTGTGGTACTAGAGTGTCTGTTTTCCAGCCCCTATCATTGCACCACAGAATGGAGAATAATTGGTTTTCTGAGACTAAAGCTAACTGTATGGAGGAATAGGCTGTTCCTTTGTTAGAGAAATTGAAGCCTGAATTCCTTAGGTGGTCATGAATAAGTGCTTAACTATTCATTTTGAGCTTCAATATATTGTATTCTGCGATTATGGCATGGTAGCAGACTATACTAACTCATGCTGGATTGCAAATTCAGATTTATGAACAGGAAAAATATGAAAAGTTTTGGGCTATTAATTAAAAGGTGGGACAGTTTGTTTGGTGCAATAATAAACTGCTTTCTATATTTAACATTTGCTTGTCCAAAGAGTATTTTGGGAAGGGAAGTCTATTAGGAAGTTCAATAAAAATAAGTTGAGAAGCTTGTAAGCCGCAACATCTAGGAGTTACGGCACAATATTGTTGTTTGGAAGATAGCAGTTGTCCATTGCATTTATGTGATGATGCAGATTATTCACTACTAACTAGCAAGAAACGATTGCATCATCAACTTATGTGATGGTTTGATTTCAACTTTTTTAGGAGCAATGTCTTACTTCGGAACATTCCTTTGTGTGCATGTTCACGAATGCGTATATCATGGCCAAATTAGGACACCGGGGGAAGCTTTTGCCAATTGTTTGTCATTTGAGTTTTCGTTATTGTGCTATTGACTTCTAATATCTACGTGGAATGATAATAATTCATGCTTTTCTTTTTTCTTTTTTATGTGCCCTTCCAAGGCACTTTTCTTGGGTTGGACTACTTGTCCAACTATGATATATCTTTTGTAACTTTTAGCTTTTATCATTAATAAAAGTGTTGTTTCTTATCGAAAAATAATAATAATTCATGAATGGTAAAAGCGGCCAAATTCTAGTTGAAATTCAATATGGTTTTTCTTGGGTGGAATCATTTAAAAGGTGATGATTACGAGTTTCCTTCTTTTTCCTTGATTCATCAGGTTCCAGGTAAAGAAGAAACAGTTCTTTCGCAACTTCATGACTATCACACTCTTTGGTGCTGTTGGTACTCTGATATCCTTTGTCATCATATCATTAGGTATGCTCTAATGTCTTTAATTGTGTAACTATGTACTTTTTCATGTGCAAGAATATACCACAAAAAAGAAGAGTAAGAGTATCTCCAATCATTGCCCTTTTTTAAACCTAAATTTAAATTTGGGTAAAAAACTCCTAAAACTTTTCTCCAATGCTAGACTTATACTCATATCAAATAAAGGGAAACTTTTTTTACTCAAATCAAGGGAAATTCAAATCCATACCTAAATTTTTAATGGTGAGATTTTACTTTCCTTTAAAGATTCAATGATCATATTTTACCCTATTTTAAATTTTAATTTATCCTCATTTCAATTTGAATTTTTCTCCCTTTAAATTTGAGTTTCTTCATTTGATAATTCTATACCAAATCAAGTTTTTTTACCCTTTTTTAAACTTAAATTTGGGTAAGGGTATGGGTCTCCATCGGAGATGGTCTAACTATTGCTTTTAATTTTTGACCAGGTGCTATTATCCTTTTCAAGAAAATGAATATGGGCTCTCTCGAACTAGGAGATTATCTTGGTACCATTCAACTCTCTGTTTTCATATTATTTTTTCTTTTTATTTTTAAATAATACTAATAAGTATTAATTTTCCCTTCAAAAATAATTAGATCTTATCAAATAGTTAATTGGATAATCAGTGTTATTTAAGGCGTAAAGGGAACCGAAGCGACCGAGGCTCCTAACACCTAGGCGAGAAGCGAAGCGAAACGCTTTACCGAAGCGAAGCGAACAGTTAAAAAAAAATAAATAAATATTTTAGTTTAATTACTTCTAAACATCAGCATTCAGCATTACAACACTATCACACTACAATTAATGGAACAAAACAGTACAGAAAATCAACATTCAACAAAGTCAGCACTATCAACATTACAACACTATTAGCAAAATCAGTAGCATTAAAATTAAAAATTAGAATTAAAATCAGCAGCTATTCAAAAAACAGCAGCATTAAAATCAGAAAGCAAAAAAAAAAAGAATCAAAAAAAAAAAACACCAGAACCAGAAAGAAGCAAAAAAAACGAGAGAAAAAAAAGAAGCAACAGCTAAAAGAAGAAGCTGAAAAAAAAAAATAGAATGAAGAAGCAGAAAAAAAAAAATAGAAAAAAGAAGAAGCAGAAAGAAGAAGAAACAAAAAAAAAACTGAAAGAAGAAGTAGAAAAAAAAACTAAAAGAAGAAGCAGAAAAAAAAACAAAAAGAAGAAGCAAAAAAAAAAAACATAATCAAATAGGAAGAAGAGATACAAAAGAGAGAAAAAGAAGAAGAGGAGACAAACCTGGACTAACGAGGAATGAAAAGCAGCAGTAGTTTTTGTCTCTAACCAGCGAGCAAGGAATAGCACAACAACAATGTAAGGGGTAGTGGGTACCTCCTCCATAAGAAGTGTTCACTTATATGGCAGGGGGGAAGACGACTCTCTTCCGATGTGGGATTGCCTTAGGAAAGGGTCCTATTGGCGAAGAGAGGTAAAGGCTACTGCCGAACGCGCGCAGGTCAGCTGAAATCCTTCTGTGGGGGGAGGACATCCCGAACGCGCGGATAAATCCCCTACAAACAATGATCGCCTGACCAGGGAGGAAAGAGCAGCAGCAGTGATCGTGAGAGGAAGGAGCAGCAGCGATCGTGAGAGGAAGGAGCAGCAGTGATCGTGAGAGGAAGGAGCAACAACAATGATGATCTGATCCTGAAAATTAGGATTTGGGTTTTATATTTATGGGATAAGGGGATAATTGAATATATTGGCATCTTATAATTTTTTTTTCAATTGTCCTAATCCAACGGTCCACAATGAAAATAAAAGACTACTTCGCTTCGCATGACTAAGGCGTTCGCTTTTTTGCCTTTCCCTTAAGCGCAAGGCACTCGCTTTTCTCACTTCAGTCACGTTTGCTTCGCTTGGGGTGTTTAAGGTGAAATATCTTCGTTTCGCCCCGCTTCTTGCCTAGGCGAGCTTTTCAAAACACTGTGGACAATTAAGTCCTAAGGTAATAATTTGTTCCAAAAAAGTTCAAGATTCCATCAATAGCATATTTTATTCCACTTTTATCTTTCTTCATGAGAACACTAGTTACAATTTTACCCATAACTTTATGACTAATTTTGATTTATGTAGAAAGCATTATTGTTTTTGTATCTCTAGGTTGCTGTGAAATCTGAGACTTATTTTCTTTAAATTATTTACCAATTCAATACATGTTTGACATAAAATTTGCCATATTTCAACCATGGCCGACTTGATACAGATTGGGGCCCTCAACAAAAGTTTTAATTAGGGGCCCTTCAAAATTAAATATAAGTATTTAAATAATACAATGATAATTATGTGAAAAAATATGTTTCTCACTTTTGATGATGCAAAGTTACTAATTAAGCTTGTATATTCAAGTTTTGCTAATATATGCTTTTTAATAGATTACAACTACTCCGTGTAATTTTTTTTGTGACAAAGTTAATCACAACTAGGATTCCCTTAGTTTTATTGCTGGAAAAATTCTTTGCGCTATGTAGTTATTGTTAATAGTAATTTTGTATAGTGTTCTCATGTACTCTAATAAGTTGTTGTTATTATTATTATTATTATTTTTGGTCAGGTGATATGTTATTATTGTATTGCTAGTTTTACTTATAGAACTTCTTTTAAAAGTTTTTAGTTTTGAAGGCAAATCTGACTCATCAATGTTGAAAAATTGATCACGTTGAAAAAATTCTTAGAATTTACAAGAATATTTTATAAACTCTTGTCATATGAGGACTTTAATATTTTGCAACTTGTATAAAAAATATCGTCATACAATTTAGATTGTTCCAATCTAGCTAACTTGATCTACTACTTAATGAATAATTAATTGTAAAAGATTCTTCGGGTAATATGTATAATCAAGAATAAGAGAAACCAAAATTGTGAAACTAGATAGAAATTGCAATGGAAATTTGGCTGGATTGAGGATGTTCGTTAAATGAAAGCATACGCTAAATGAAAAAATTGTAGTCTATATCGTTTAAATAGGAATATCTCATATGATCAACAGAAAATAGACTATATTAATTAGGACTTGTAATTAATTGATGAATATAGAGAAATGGTTACCCATAGGTCACAAATTGTGCATAATGGTGAGGTGGCGTGTATAGCGGGATGGATTACTTACTAGTGTGACTTACAAAAAACATATTAATACTTGTAGTGAGAGTTACCTCGTAACTTAAGAAAGGATACAACCTTCTATTAGATAGATAAGTTAAAAGAGAAGACTTGCAAAAAAGAAGATTATCATAGGCATTATTGTACATTAAAAAATTACGGGCCCCCTTCAACTGGGGGTCCTAAGCGGCTTTGTGGGCTTAGTGGTGTGGCCTGCTCTAATTTCAACCCATCATGAGAGCAAACTCCTAATATACTTGGAATGTTAGTTGCATGGTCATGGATTGCTAGAAAAAGTTTTCATAAGCATAAACCCCAAAACACTGAGACACATGTGGGACAATTGGAGAAATGCTTATCGCTCTAGTCTGAGAGGAGAAATCGTATTTCTGATTACAAAATGAAAATAAAACAAAGCATGGCAATGTCATAATTAAAACTTGTAGGGCAAACAAGGAGTATAATGAATTTAGGACTTTTTTGAACAAATCATTGAAAGTATGATGTAATTATCCCAATGGAATTTTTTTTTTCAATAATGAAAAATAAATAGGACTCAATGGCTTTTTTAAGGGAAAAGTAATACTTATTTGAAATTTTCCCTTTTATTTTCCACTACCATACATATATTCTTCTCTAATCTTACTCTATTATTTCCAGCAATTGGAGCAATCTTGTCTGCAACAGATTCTGTTTGCACTTTGCAGGTATATAAAGCATTTTTTAGCTGTGGTCTTGTAGAATTGGAAACAGTTCTTTGCAACAGAATGTGTTCTATTTGATTATGCAGGTGCTTAATCAGGATGAGACGCCTCTATTATACAGTCTAGTTTTCGGTGAAGGCGTCGTAAATGATGCCACATCAGTGGTGCTTTTTAATGCAGTTCAGAGCTTTGACCTATCGCATATGAACCCAAGCATTGCATTGCAGTTAATTGGGAATTTTCTATATTTGTTTGTCACAAGCACTTTGCTGGGAGTTGCCGTGAGTCTCACTCTCTCTCTCTCTCTCTCCCCACCCCTCTTCCCCTTTTTCCCTCGCAGTGCATAAGCATCTGCATGCTTTTGGGTAGATAAGGTTATTTGACGCACCATATTCTAAAATTGCAGGCCGGATTACTTAGTGCATACATTATAAAAAAGCTCTATTTTGGAAGGTTTGTAAATCTTTGCTTCATAACGCCATCACATAATTGAAGGTCGAATGAAATGGCTTATAATATAAATTATGACAATTCATGTTCAGAAACATGTATAATTGTCAAAGAGAGTCAAGAAAATGGTGTGGTTGCAGGTGATTAATTGTTGCCTTTTTATCCCTGCTTCTGCACCAGTTTTGGTCATATGAAATTACTAAAACAGAATTTGGTTTCTGGCTGGATGTGCTTTGCCAATTATATAGTATGCATATGTTGAAGAGTGATGGTCTGATAGCATGAAGCAAAAGAAATTGACTATTATTACAGCAGGGTTTATTAATCCTACCTCAATTTCTAATGAACTCCAGGCATTCTACTGATCGTGAGGTTGCTATTATGATACTCATGGCTTACCTTTCATATATGCTGGCAGAAGTATGATACTACTCTTCTTTCCAAAACCTTCAAATTGATTTTAGCTTTCTGTATGTCACAAGGGCAGCTTTGGACAATTGAATCTCAACATTTTGATGTTTCTATTGTTGATTTTATTTGTGTTGCAGTTATTCTTTTTAAGCGGCATCCTCACCGTATTCTTTTGTGGGATAGTGATGTCCCACTATACCTGGCATAATGTCACTGAAAGTTCGCGAGTCACGACCAAGTATGCTTAGCATCCAGTAACAGTTAGAACAAATCCATTTGTTGCTGTTTCTCTTTAGCCAGAATTCTTGCACCAATTAACATACAATTTATGTATTCTCTCCACCCTTTTTGCAGGCATGCTTTTGCGACATTGTCATTTATTGCTGAGATATTTATTTTTCTCTATGTTGGCATGGATGCTTTGGACATTGAAAAGTGGAGTGTTGTTAGTGACAGGTATGTTTTAGCTGCCCAACATGCATAATACACCATGCCACAAATTTGATGAATTGTGTAATATGTGGAAATGGTAAATTGTTTATATTTATATCTGTCGTAATATGTTTTTTTTTCCAGCCCTGGAACATCAGTTGCGGTTAGCTCAATTCTGTTGGGACTGGTTTTGGTTGGAAGAGCAGCGTTTGTATTCCCCTTGTCATTTTTATCGAACTTGACTAGGAAGTCTGCACACGAGAAAATTGGCCTAAATCAGCAAGTATGATCCTAGTATTCTGGTTTTATGCTTGAATACCCTCAATTACTTGGCATTGTATATTGACTGCAGGAATTTTATATTGCAGGTTACAATATGGTGGGCTGGTCTTATGCGAGGTGCTGTTTCTATGGCTCTTGCTTATAATCAGGTAAGTTGATTATATCCTTTTCACCTAGCAGGGTCGTATTGTATTATGCACGAAACATGTGTACAACTTTTTCTTTTGCATATATGAGGTAGCTGTGTTTTTTTCTTACTTTTTCAACGAAGAGTAGAGGCGTTAAACGAGACGAGCTAACTTAGGATCGGCTCAAGATAAAACTTGGTTCGAGCTCGACTCGTGTTCTAAATTAGCTGAGTTTAAACAATTTTTTAGGTTCGACTCAAGCTTAGAAAGCAATGAAAGCACGACTCATTTAAATGTAAAATAGTCAAGTTACTCAAGTTCAACTCAAGTTTGCTTGAACAATTTTTTAGACTTGTTTAGAAAAATAAGCTCGCCAAGCTTGGGTTCAAGTTCGCAAAGCTTGACTCAATTGACACCCTAAGAAAGATCAAGGAAGGGAGGAGAAAAAAATGGGGGAAAAGGGGGGGAGGGTGGTTTGAGTAAGCATTTTTATGGTGCGAGGGTATGGTTATGTACTGATTTCTTCAATTTCATTCATGCAGTTTACGAAGGAAGGCCATACCCAATTACGGGGGAATTCGATCATGATCACCAGTACCATCACAGTAGTTCTCTTCAGCACAGTGGTAAGACAACTTAGTCCTCTGCTGATTGGGTAGCGATCTGTAGTTGGGTACATCTGCCCGATGTGAAGATCTATACCTTAAAAGATACGCCAAGCCAAAAAAATCAAATCAAATTAAATCAAATCTTATGTCTCAATTATTTAGGATCAGTTATATGAGTCTGTCTTTATCATTTATTTTGATCATGTGTTATACGTTCGTATATCATTATTTGGACTCGTCATAAAGGATTTGACAAAATTTTACGATTGTTGTAGGCTATTTAACACAACCGTCCTTCTTTATTCTGATTTAGGACAGACAACGTTGAGTCCAACAATGGCGGAGTAGGGCATTTTAAAGATCTAGACCTTAAAAGAAGTAGAAATTTTGAATACTTTTTATTCACTTCTTGCTAATACAATTCACAAGAGCTTCGCAAATAGTTCATTTGATATTCTTTGCAACATAGTTTCATTGCCAAAATGGGTTTTCTGAGAAAAATATTCACACCTAGATTTAAACATCCTTTGGGACCAGTTTTTCAGCTTTAAACATCACAGTGATGTGGAGAACTGGAATTTTGACATCATTTAGCCATAAAATCACGGGCGCACAGTTTCCACCTGTGTCAGCTGAACTGTGCCATGTATCTGTTATGTCGCTCAAACTGACGACCCAAACCTGGCTGCTCACTGTTAGCTCAGCATTAACGGCTGTAATCTTTTGATAGTTTGACCCTGTTAAGAGTTTGAAGTCTGGGGGAAAAAAAAAATCCCTGTTTTTATGAGCGACTTCAATAGCAAGATTGTCATCCCTAGCTGTAGTTTCTTTGCTTGATTCATAATTCCTGATTGTTACGTTTTCCATTCCATGGTTGTTTCTTTCATCGATCATGACAGGTTTATTTTCTCTCCCCCTTGTGTCCATGCAGGTGTTTGGGTTGATGACTAAACCTCTGGTGAGGCTCTTGCTGCCCTCATCAAAACAATTAGTCAGAATGATTTCATCGGAACCAGTTACTCCCAAGTCCTTCATTGTGCCACTTCTCGGCCATGGACAGGATTCAGAAGCTGACCTATGTAGCCCCAATATGCCTCGTCCAAGCAGCTTACGGATGCTCCTAACAACTCCATCTCGATCAGTCCACTATTATTGGAGAAAATTCGATGATGCCTTCATGCGTCCAGTTTTTGGTGGACGGGGTTTCGTTCCCTTTGTTCCTGGCTCTCCGACTGAACGAAGCCTTCATCAGGAGCAAGGAGAATAACATAACAGACGCTGCCTATTGTTGCTGGGGCTTTGTAATCAGCTCCGGGGTTGAGGTTTGTTAATGTTATTTACTGTTTTTTGGTGTGATTTGATAGGAGGTTTTGGTTTATATGATAGGTTGGGGATAAACTTGCTCACTTTTTTTTTGGGGGTGGGGTGATCAAGTCATTTAGTTCAATTCTCTGGTTGGTCAACTCACATTTTTTTTGGGTATTGGTTTCGCCGTGTAAATATCACGAGTTTGACGTTTTATTGATTGCAGGCTTCTCACTCTAATAATGTTCTGTTTGTAATTTTTTTGGTTCTCTCTCTCTCTCTCATGAGAGCCTTTGGTGTAATTGTAAAACTATTTCATTGTGATTTCAGTAAGACAGATTCAACCAAATCAGTCTGATACCACGTGACAATATTGATCACCCTTGTAATGAATATTTTCCACCTTTCTAGACTCTAAATTAGCAAAAACTAAGTGCACTGGATTGTCCCCTCTCTCTCTCTCATTTTTTTTTTAACAAACAAAAATGGAATCTCATTTTTTTGCAGTAGTCGCCTGACCCTCCTTATACCCATGCAATCCCATCACATGGATCAAATAATTATTTTACACAAGAAAAAAAAGGAAAAAATTGCAATCTTCCAGGAAGAGAGGATTTTCTAACTTTTAATGAAAGGGTCAGTTGTTTTTTTGTTTTCCGTTCATTTTTCAAAAGATCTCATTATATCAGCAATGGTAGTACAGTTTTTTTTTTTTTTTGAGATAAACAGACAATCATACCTGACCACTGAAGAAAACACACTACTTATTTTTATAGACTCCAGACGGTTGCAACCTTAGCCAAGCCAGGAGCAGGATCCTCTCTGCTAAACACGTAAGAGGTATCCAATTGCCAGGCTAGTAAGAGCCACCATGCAAACAAACAGCGCCGGGAAACCCACCTGAACTCTTCGTACGCCATTCTTTCTCCTCAACACCGCCTGCAAAGATCGAAAGTCAGATTTTACATGAATGATACAGCAGGGAAGTCAAGAGTTTGAATCCCCCCACATTAATACGCTAGTCTCACCCATGTTCAATAAAAACCAAAGAAAATATGACGATATCCCCTCAAAAAGGAACGAAACCAGCCCATACCATGATCCCCAATTATGTGGGGGCCATTCCATTGCGAGGGAGAGCAGTTACCATTCAGACAGTCTAAACACTTGGGTCTCCGAAGACCCTGAGTGGCTCAACTCAAGATAAAAAAATGTCCTGCTATATTGCTTCCAAAAACAGCATAAAAAGATGAACATGTCACAAATGCTTTTTTCATTGCCAAAAGCTAGGGATGAGGAAAAAAATTTCAGATTTTACAGCTCCGTAATTTTGTAGATGTGTAGATAATTCTAGGGAAAAATGGAGAATAGTATTCAGATTGACTAACCAGTTCCTGCTTGAGTCTTTCCTTCTCTTGGATGGTTGTGCTCCTCTCTTCTTTTAGCTTTATAATGGTGGATTCGGCCTACAAGTATTATCGTCAATTCCTGATCAGTATTCTCCCAAAAACTTGAGATAGATGTATAACTTGGGCATAAACAACAATTATTCAAAACTTCCTCCAATTTAAAAACTGATTCTTGTAAAACGTTGCTAGCGTTTAATCAAAATAATAGGTGTGTAGCATACAATAAAGTTTGTTCAACATATGAAAGATTTCAGATATATAAGATATAAAAAGAAAAGATAAGTAATAGCACTTGGATTGTCAAGAAAAGAAAAAGTACTAGTGCTATAATGAATCAAGAGACCCCCAAGGCCACAGCGTGTCCACCACAATGTTTTTTCATTTTCAGTCTCGAATATGGCATCCCCGGGGGCAGCAGATATTAAACAAGAAGCAATAGCCCATTACAAAATTTAAACTGGTTAATAATGTATAGGAAAAGATTTGCCGCATTCTTTCCCCAAACTTGGAGGCATAGCTCCAAAAGGTGTAGCCGTGCAGGCAATTTCCCTATCAGTGCTTTCCAGAGGAGAATTTTTGCCTCCAAATTCCTTCCTCAAACAACAGGTCAGGAAACAAGAGATGACACATATCTAGCATGGAAAATACTTACCTCAATTAGCTCTGAATCCAGTGTATTCATCTTTGATTTCAGCTCCTCAATATCTTTAAGTGATTTCAATTTTGTTCCCTCCAAATCCTTTACAAGTCTTGGTTCCACATACTTGGTGGGGCTATTAATAACATCGTTAGAAGGGCTCAACTCCATATCCTCCACAACTTTAGGCGGATCCTCAACATCCTTACTTAGCTGCTAAATGAGAAGAATAATATCCATGAGATGTCCTTATTAGATTCAGCAAATGTCAACCAGGAAAGCCAATACCCATGCTTGAATCTCTTAACTATATCAGTAATGTAAAAGAGGCTGCAACTTTCATTCCAATGCTACTACCTAGTCATATCATTTTACTAAAAAAAATACAGACATTATCAACCAGGTAAACCATACTGGAAAGGTACAGTGACACAAATCCATCATATTACAGAGTCATAAGTACATCCCACGCAAATGTCCGACAAATTTTGACAAAGTCAAAAGAGGACAACTCAAGTCACTCATTTCTTGGGAGGTACCAAAAAAAGGGGCAAATGGGGTAAGAAGGTGGGAGGTGGTAGTTACCATAATAGAAAAACCAGTATACAGATTCTCTTCACAAAGTCTACCAAAAAAAATTGCATCAACATAAAGATCTCAAACCTTATGAGTTGGGGGAAGATTTTCTATTCCGCTTAGCATTTTCTCTTTTTGAATTGAAGTGTCATAAGAACCTTCTTGCTTTGAAACTCCGTTAACTGGTAGCAATACAGGAGAATGTGGTGGGCTTATCAGAACAACCTTGAGCTTATTCTCTTCGATGTACATGCCACTATCTTTCGCAAACTGTCAAAATATTAAATCAGAAACTGTGAAGAACAAGAAATTGACTGCAGCTACAAACTCTTACCATGCCAGGAGTAATGTCCTCTTCAGTTGTCCCAAAGGAGACAACTGTGCTCTGAATCAGAAATTTATCCTTGCATTGCATCTCAGATGGAGCTGACCGTTGAGCTTGCATAGTAACTGTATTGCACAAAATCTGAATCAGATGCGTGTTCATGACCTCAGTTGTTAACACCATTACCAGATGCTGGCTTTCGGGCCAATAAATGGAGCTACATGTAAGCAAGAAGGGTGGCATGCAATGAATTTGATGACAAGCTATATAAAGATGTGGGGAACTTAGATAATTGACTGATGATATGGAAAATTCTGACAAAAGTACCACTCAGGCTTTTATCTTATTTGTGTAGTAACGAGAAACATCGGTACTATGTAAAGCAAGCCACTAGAGATTGATATGCTTGCCACCTTAGGAGGATGGTGGCTCGACCACATGAACTATGGATTCAGAAGAGCGATAGTCAACGCTAAACTATCAATTAACCAAACAGACTTTGCTGAAGCTATTAATAACGTTTCTTAAATTCCTCATCTGCTCAAATTTAAAAAACAAAATAAAAATAAACCAAAAACAAAAGTAGTAACTAAAATTAAACCTCCCACCCCAACCCAGCCGGCAGCCCCTGCCTCCTCCCCCACCGCTCTCCTCCATCCAAAACCCATTGTCCCTTCCCCCTCCCCACCCAACACTCCCGCAACCCTGGTAGATCCCACTTCCCCAAAACCACCATTGCAACCTAAAACCCACATCCCCACCTCGTTTTTGTTTAACGAAATGTGTCATAGTTATGTCGGCCAAAGAGGTTAGATAGAGAATGCAACAAACAAAATTACACATACCAAAGCAATAGGCCAAGTAGACAAATGAATGTGACAGTGGCACTATGTTGTTCATAGCCTTAAGGTAATTGCAACAAAAAGAGCCACAAAACAAAGAAAGTGTGGGAAATACCTGTGAAATCACATGTTGACTTTGGCTTTATGATGCCTATGTTGGGCCGCACACAGTATTTCTTTGGTGATGTAGTCTTTACCTGCCATAATAATTGATTTCATAGAAAATTCATCAGTTTTCCTTGCAAACCAAAGAGCCTTCAGTTTGACATTTACCATATAAAATCTTACATCTTGTAAATATGTCAATGATTGAAAGGCAGGAAAGATAATAATACAAAACAAACAGTGCTTTTTAGAAAAAGAAGAAATACTATGGTATGATGGTCACAAGGTCTGGGGCCAAAAATTTATTACATAAGCAAGAAGTTAATGTACCTTGAAAGCAACATATTGATCAGAGATGTTGGCAAGATGAACTGCACATGAACTTTGCTTCTTCACCTCAACTAGAGCGAGGGGAAGGGGGCAAGGGGATGAGAGAGAATGTCAGACTGACAATTTTCGCTTTATGAGATAACTTAAATGGAAAACAAACCAGTCTTCGCAAGCAGAATAGAAAAATTATTCAGATGAACAATAGCTGTTAAGAAATGATAGGAGAAATATGTTCATTGCCTAGGGTGGCGATCAAGGGCTCGGGCTAACAACTGCAAGGTTGTGAGTTCAAAGATGACAGCAACCACTTCATAGTTCGTACACATAATGCAAAAGATTAGGTCTATACACAGTCCAACTCCCCCAACCCTTGTTAATTCCCATTCACTTGGTATTGATATTTTTTCCCAAAAATGAGTATAAGAAAGATATAAAAGCATTGGACACGATAAGACCGGGATCAAATACCACAAATAAGAGGCAAAAAGGAAGCAAAATCATTATGGAATTAGACACATGTAGACTTCCATACAAACATTCAGGAGGAAATTTCATTATCCACATAATGATATCATTGTAACTAAACACTCTGCAAGAACTACACTATTAGGACTCACATGGTAACAACAGTACGATCAGAACTGCTAATCTCCACATATACTAGAAAGTATGCACACAGTAATGCCCCTGCTGCTTTATCATGAGAACAGGGATGGGCAGAGGGGCATATAACATCTGAGCTATAACAGTTAGGGAACAAGTATTTTAATAAAAAACCAAAAAAATTCATGAAGTAATGCATGTTTCGAAACACCACCAGAAGATGTAATTGATCAGAGGCAATCAGAATTAACACACTTCTTTACTGTTGAATCCATGATTAAATAATTATAAGGCTAGATGCTCAAAACTGGCATAAGTTAGGAAAATGAAGCGATTTTATGCATTTAAATATCCAAACGTGCCCTATGAAATTTACAGATACTAGAAATCAGGTGACATGTAAATTCAAGTACTTACAAGTGAATTTAAGTTCTCGGGGTTCAATCTCCACTAGCTTTGCACTCATGATGCCTCCTTTACACCTGAAATCGAGACAAATTAGCTCCAACTCATAACTGGCACTTTTTAATAAGAAACAAGAACTTTCAGCTATAAAAATTATAATAATTGCTAAAATTCTGAAACTACGTAGAGCAACATCAAAGACAAAATATAAAACTACAAGCACATAATACTCTTAACAGATCCAAAGAAAAAGACTACCAAATATACAGAATAGAAGTGTGAATGCAGACATGTAAATCAATATATTCATCAAAAAATTGCTGGTTTGAAACCCTAACTTAAATGTCCTTTGCACTCAAAATCAACAAGCACGAGCACCATCAAAGAATCGCAGAAGAACAGTAACAAGTCAAAAAAAATAAGATAACTAATCAAATTATAGCATAAACCTTGCAGAAATGTACATGATACAAGAAAGAATCTAACCGAGAAAGGAAAATTGAAAATGCAATCAGATAACGAGAAAACCGACGGAGAAATCAGATCGGAATTAAGTTAAAAAGGATAGGTAGATTTCGCTTGAATTCGAATCCAGCATTGGTGAGACTCTATAGACAGTTGAAATGGAGAGAGAGAGAGAGAGTTGGTGATCTGAAACACTGTGAAGAAGCAGTAGAAGTTAAGCGAAGGTGTAGGAGGAGTGTGGGAGTTTGGTGTGAGTGTGGGAGAGTTGTACGTAGTGGGGGTCTACGGGGCGGTTGCACCTGCTGCTTTTGCCTTTTGCGTTACGGTTTCATTCTCGAACGGGCTCCGTTTTGTTCTCGGCTCGGCTTATTTTTTCTTTTGAGAGAATTACGCTTAGACCCTTCAAATTTGTCACTTAATCATTTAAACCCTTAATATTTAAAATATTATACATAGACCTTCTAAAATTTATACGTGACATAAATTTAGACCCCAGTCGTATAATATATTTATTAATAAATTATACTCAAACCCCCTAAAATTTTTATACATATAATATTTATACATTTCAAGTTTAAAATATTATATTTAGATCAAATACTCTAATCAAATATAGAATGTTAAATATTTTAAATTTTATAACCAAAATTCATATTTTATTATGTCATTTATTGAAATAAAATCAAAAATCAAATTTTATTTTTTTAAAAAAATCATAATTAGTATACAATTATATTATTTATTAGAATAAAACTAAAAAATTAAACAAAGGGTCACATTGCATTGATCACAATATATTCTATCTTTATTTGGGGTACTTTGATCATTTAATAGATTCTGTTAATTCTATAAGTAATAAAGAATCTAAATGTAATATTTTAAACTTGAGAAATTTAAGTATTATGCAATTACAAATTTAAGGGGAATCTGAGTATAATTTACTAACGAATATTAACAACAGGGTCTAAGTGTTATGCACTACAGACGTCTGAGTATAATACGTTTTATGTCAATAGATCTAAATAATTAATTAACATATCTCAGTAGATCACGATGTAATTCTTCTTTTTTTTGTCATTTTATCAAAATTAAAATTATATACCATCACACTATATCATGTGAAAATTTATTTTGTTAGAATCTATACAACTAAAAATTTGACTTTTATAAAACCTTGTTGAATAAAAATTTTGCCCTCGCCCTCGCCCTCGCCGGCCCTCCGACCATAAGGTCTACGACCACAAAGATCACTCATCCCGCCTTGATTCGTTGATGTACTCATCTTATATTATTTTCTCGTCTTACACCTGCAATCCATTTCTCCCTACTCGGGTTAGGTCGTCTTTTTTCTGACCTTGTCTGTGCCTACATAGATTATCCCCTAGCCCATGTTCATCTATCAATAACTCACACAAAAACAAACTCATACAGACAAAACAATTTTTGAAAAAGGACAATCTAAGAACCTATGATCCAACGCTATAGTTGTAGATATAAAATATCACATATGCATGCGCGCATACACACACATAAGGTAGCGTGATAGAATTTGTGATGATAGTGATGTGATGGGTGAATGGTGAATATGGTGTTTTATTGATGGTGAAGATAAGAAATTGAATGAAATATTATGTGTTTTGTCCCTAATTTATACTTGTGGTGCGTGAGAGAAAAACAAAAGGTTCTAAAGCTAAAATTGGAAAGTAAAATCAAGCCGAGTGAGTGTACATAATAGATTCCACATGAATTCGTAATGATCTTTAAAAAAAATAAATACATTTTGAAGACCATTTGAAATTTGATTATGTAGTGTCCAAATCATATCCAAATTAATTTGTTAAATTTTATTAATATTACCAACTTCTGTGGTATTAACTTGCCTAGCAACCTTTTCACCTTGCTCCGTTTGATAGAGAGGACAGAAAGCAGGAGAGATACACTTTCTATCATTTAAGGATGAAAAGTAGGAAGGATACATTTTTCTTCTTTTGTGTTTGATTGGATAAATGGAAAATAAAAATGACTTTTTTTTTTGTGCTGGTTAAGATTATGGGTGACAATCGAATCGTGTCGTATTAGATTCGTGTTGGATCATTACGGGTTTGTGTCGAATATTAGTCAAACCTAACTTAACTCATTTAATTAATTGTGTCGTGTTGAGTTACGAGTTGACCTGTTTATTTTCGTATCGAGTTCGAGTCGTATCATCGTGTTGAGTCACAAATTTTTACTCTTAGTTAAGACGAAAAAAATATTTTTTTTACTTTAAAATTTTTATTTTTATTTTTTTATTTTTAAATTTATTAAATATATATATACACATATTTTACCATTATATTTTTATATAAAATTAATGTATACATAATATATGTATATATAAAAAATATATATATAGACAAATAAGATAGATCTCAACATAAATAATTAATTTTTCATCCACTTTCCTTCCAATTTTGGATGGATTGATTTTGAGGAGTTGAAAATAAAGTTAATTCATCCATTTTTTCATCCTTCCTACTTTTCTTCCTTAGTAAATATGATGTTTTATTTATCCCTCCAACTTTTAATCCTGTCAACTTTTTATCCTCTTATTTTTTTTATCATATTAAACTGAGGATAGGGTAGATTCATTGAGAGGACTCTCCACTTAATTAGCTAAACAACTTGCACCAAAACCATTAGCTTTTAAGCCTTCTTTGTTAGCTTGGGCACTATGGTAGGCGGCTCCATTCCAAACTCACAATCTCTTTCCTATCAAACTTTTCATGCCAATAAAGGGTTTCGTTATGTAGTACATTCCCCCCACCCCCAAAAACACAACCACTTTATATATATATATATGCACGGGATTTTTAGGTGTGACTAAGAGAATATGAAGAAAAAAAAAAATAGTTTAGGTGACCAGCTTTTACTTTGGTTTCATATGTACACTACCCATACTACATTGTTTAAGGGAGATTCACAATTTCGTCTCACCCTCTCCAAAATTTATTGTGGAGTGAGGATCGTGCGCCGGACTATTATTTTTAAAAATAGTTGGCATTTCATGCTTCACCGGAGAAGTGATATTAAATGGTACATAACATATTTAAGTAGTGTTATTTCGGTCTCATATCATCTCAAGTTATGTTGTTTTTCAACCGTGTCGAGTTCTTATCGAGTTTGGGTTCATACAAACAGTCAGTGAACCAAAACTTCCACTGCTATTTATCTTTTCAAATCTAGGGAAACTCAATTAAAAAATGTCACTTCATTTTAGGATACTTCATTCGTACTAGATTCATAAAATAGCAAAAAAAATAAAAAAGAGTTAAAACATTAGATTTTTTTTCAAATAATACAAAGTTTACAAGTTTATCGAGTTAAAATTGAGTTGTCTAAAATTGATATTAATTTCACCTATTTATTATTTATTTTAACGATTGTGCCAGTTTTGGATTCATTTTAAATTTGGTTTATTTCATGTAAAAAAAAAAAGTTATTCTTGCAACTATAATGACCCAATAAATATTTTTTTTTAATAGTCAGGAGTGTTCAAATTAACTCACGCATACTTTAACTAATCTTTTTGTTAAAGATAAATTATTTATGTCGAAATTTAAATATTCATAAAATTTTTTATCTCTCATAATTTAATTTTAAAAAATTATTAAAATTCCGACTTGGAGAATTTATATCACGGTGCCTCTTGACAAATAAATGCCGACATAATTGGGAGGCAAGTGCAAGATTTTTGACTTTTACAGAATTGTAGGCTTGTAGCTACTCCATAAGCTTTTGCTCACCATGTGCCTATCACTGTTGTGACCTTTGTGGCCCCATGCGGTGCTTTAGAGGTAATAAATACCCAATCAAGGGGAAAAAAGGAACAAAAGTTTGTTTTTTATATCAATGGGAAAGTTTACTTTAGAATACTTTTCCACAAGTTCACATTATTAAAAGTTATTATTAATAATGATAAGTTATCTCTCAATTTGATGATTTTATAAAATAATAAAATTATTAAAATTAATTTTAACACTTTATATTCGATTAGATTTTTTTAACTCAAACTTATGGTTTGTTGATATAATAAAAAGGTGAAGGAATATAAAGTAGAATGATAAATAATAATAATAATAAATACACAAAACAAGGAAAAAATTTGGAGAAATAAGTTTTCTTTTCGATCCACAAAAATGTATTTTGTCAAAATAAGCAGAAAATGGAAGGAAATATATATGTGTTTTAAATATAGGTCATTTATTTTTAAATCTATGGATATAGTTGTTTTATTTTAGTTAAACATGATGGAGAATTTTTTAAAATTACACATCCTTATTTTTTCTTCCTTTTAATTTTTTATCCACACAACATTAAAAAAAAACATCACTTTTTTTAACATAAAATAAATATGCAGGATAAATCATTCCACATATCTTCTAAAGAGCAACGCCCTTCAGCATCATAAAACTATTTGTAGGAAATTCCATCACACCTACGTTAGGGTCGAAATTAAGGTCCCCTTCCTTACTTTGAGAGTTGCAGAGTATGTTTAACTTTACCGAACTGTTGTAACTATTAAGACTCAAATTCAAGTATTGAGCGAGAAAATTT